TCGCCGCACCGGCAGCACTGCGGTGCTGCAGCCCCGGCCGACTTGCACCATGTTCTGTTACAAACTGTACATAGCTGTATTCTAGCCTGTTGTGTAGCTACTGGAGCTGTAGTGACCTTTGAGACGGGTTTGGGACGGTGTGTGCTCATCAGTGAGGCAGTCTGCGGTGCTGCAGCCCCGGCCGACTTGCACCATGTTCTGTTACAAACTGTACATAGCTGTATTCTAGCCTGTTGTGTAGCTACTGGAGCTGTAGTGACCTTTGAGACGGGTTTGGGACGGTGTGTGCTCATCAGTGAGGCAGTGCAGGCGCAGATACGCGGTGGGTAGTCTCATGTTGTAATCCAGGGCATTAAATAACGCCAAACTGATCCAATCCATGCCTCGCCGGACTCGTCTCTTTCTATAGTGCCTTTTGTAGATACAGCTACACACACATCACGCAATACAATGAACAAAACTGCGTCAAAAGATTTTTTTTTTTTTAAAGTGTAACTGACTGTGTAAAGCTTTTATTTTATTTTTTTTAAATCCAAGATTAAATGTTGCCTATTGAAAAATGCAAGACGACGTTCAGCTTGATCTAATGGTAGGTTGATACAATCAACTTGCACTTGAGCCTGGCTTCTCAGCACCAAGTTACAGCCGGTGGGAGAGGAGCCCCGTGCACTGTGGACAAATTACGTCAGTCATTCCCCTCTTTGGTTCCCAATGCTGTTCAACTTTGTTTAAATAACTGTATTATATTTTGTGAAAAGCTGAAGAAATTTTATTCAAAGAGATGTATAGAGATTAGTTATTTATGAGGAAAAAAAAAAAAGTGTGTGTTGTTTTCTTTGCTCCTGCTTATATGAGATGAAAAAAAAATTGCACTAAAACCTTACACTGGGGGAGAGGGGAGGCATGTGTGGAGGGCTGCGTGGGTCCCTTATCAGCAGGGATCGTGAGGGTCTTGCGTGGTGCTGGGCTCTTGCTACGTGTGCATTAACCCAGCACAGCTCTGCCTCGGCCGGGAGGGCTCAGGCAGCCGGGGCGCCCCAGAGCCCGCAGCGGCACTGGGCTCGGTGGCCCAGGGGGTTGCAGACGAGCGTGGACATGCTGAGGCTGCTGGCACTACTGGCTGGGGCCTGGGCCCTCCCTGCCAAGCCAGTTCCTTGACAGTTCAAGGTTGCGCCTCCCTGGCAGAAGAGGATTAACTATCAACTTTTATTGGCATTTTGCAGTATCAGGTCCTCGCCCTGCACTGAGCTCAGGCACGGAGGAGTTGCCCTTTGATACTTATCAGGCCGAGCAGATGACAGCTCCGAGTCAGGTAGGATGTTGCCCTCCGATTTAAGCGTCCGTGTTGCCATCTGCTGTGCGCTCGCTCTCTCATTTTGGGGAAAGCACTGGGCAAGGCGTGCAAGGGGTTAAGGCTGACTCACTGGTGACTAATGGTGCAGGACTCTGCTATCTAGCTAGGTGTGTAGGCACACACCAGGTCCCACCAGATAGGATCGCTTACCTGGAAGCAGCATTCCAGCGCAGCGATAACGCGGTCGGGAGCGGGTGGCCAGGCCTGACTCACGCTTCCTCCGGGCCGGGCACTGCCCCTGCGAGGCTCCAGCGCGAGCGAAGCAGGCAGCGTCAGAGTCCGGCGTGTGCGGGGCAGCCCTTGCAGGGGGGCACTGGCTCAGCACCAGGCCCTTGCTGGCGAGCAGTGGGCACTCGCAGTAAATAGGGGTCGGGCAGCGCTGCTGCCCAATACAGGGCCGTGGGCAAGGGCAGGGCAGGTGCTGTGGGTTGCTGGCTGCGCATCCCCGGCAGGACGCAGTCCCAGGCTGTGCTCCAGACCATGATCGCGCACAAGCATTAGTGCAGCCTGTGCTCCAGTGTGTGCTGTCGCACCCTTTGGTGCAACTGTAGTTTTCCCAGCTTACTTTAAGGCTGGTCAGGCCTAAGCAGTGCCACAGCACTATCGAGCTGTGGGAACTACCAGCCCTGGAAGGGGGCAGCAGCCCTGTCTGTGCCACCCTCCAAACAAGTGGCCTGTGCACACACCTGGCAACCTTGTGCGTGAGCTCTTGCCTCAATTGCTCTTGTGTCCTCTTCCGCTTGCTCAGGTCAGTCTTGACGCCTATACCCTTATCCAGAAGAGATGTTCTTGACATTTATTCCGTTGCTGTAGTGCCTGTCCTCTCAACTGCCAAACTCCCTCTGAAGTAGTGCTCATATTAAAAAAAAAAAAAAAAAAAATTCCCTTAGAAAAAAAATACACAGGCCTGTACACAAAGGGGAAGGGCTGCCGATTCCAGCGAGCCTCGCAGCAGCCCAGCAGCACACCAGCAACTTGCTGGCCTGTGCGGATTGCTAACACGTGCTGCTCAGGTTAGGCTTGCTGGTGCCAACGTTGCTCTTGATGGGCCGCAGTGTAGCTATTATATATGCAAAGTGTGTCCTGCCAGTTTGGGAGTACTGCCCTATGACTAAACACAGCCAGAGGTCACCTCAGCAGAGATTAAATACTCTTCAGCTGTTGGGTAAAGTGAAAGGAGTGTGCCATTCACAAGGCCCAGCAATCCTATGGCTGCTGCTCCAGCATGTGAGCAAAATAAAAGAAAGTAACAGTTTAATTCTAGTAGTCTAACTATGAGTCTAATCTTCCTCATGCCTTTTTAAGGGGGGGGGGAAATAAATTAAAAAAAAAAAAAATATGCTGTCACCCTATAAATAGTGAAAGCCCTGAAGGTCTGTCTTCCAGCAGAACCACCTAAATCCAATTCCCTTGGAAACACTTATCACTGTTCTTCCCATCAAAAGGGACCTGTATGTTTTTCATATTATTTATTTAACCTACGTCATCCATTAGCTTTGTTTTCCTGGTTCTAATTCCCTTTTTTTTTTTTTTAGGAACACCAGAAAGTTAAATGCTCGAGCAGGGCTTCTCCTGACCAAGGGGATTGCCAGGTTGCCTCTCTTAGGAGGTTAACGTTGTAGTAGAGCCCTACAGCTCAAAAATCCTATGTAGCAAATGCTTTAGGTTATGCTCCAGTAAACTTGAAGCCAGTTAAGGTTGACAGCACACTTGTTAGCAGCAGTCTGCAGGAGGCTACATTGCCACCAGAAGCAGCCAACAGCTGTTGTTGCACACCTGCCAGCCGCATAGCAGGCGGCACCTCCTTTGCATTTGGCAAAAAGGTGAATGAGTGATATGAGGTGCTGCTGAGCACCTCGGCACTGCACTTGCGGATGCTGCGTGCCAGGCAGCCGTGGCCGGCATCCAGCCCAGCCCCCACTGAGCTGAGGGCACCGGGCAGTGCTAAGACTCATCTAAAATCAGGTCATGAGTCAATCCAGGAGATGGTCACTTGGAACAGCCAATCTGATGGGCCTCAAGGAAGGCTCAAAAGCAGTCAAATCACCTCCAGAAAGACTGGCCCTACTTGCAGGCCAGTTACATGCAAAGAAACTGTCAACAATTAGTTATATGACAAGCCTGGGTCAAATTCTAAGTCCAAACAGTGTGTGGGACCAGCAAAGCAACTATGTAAGGCACAGACTGCCCACACCCTGCCCGACGCCACGGACCAGGCAGCTCATTTTTCCAAGTGAGCTCTGCTGCTGGCTCCTGAGACGTTCGCAACGGTACAGAGCACAAACTTCACCTTTAACTTTATTTAAAATAGAGTTTATTAGCTTTTCTTTTAATACAAACATGAGAAAGGAAAAACCACCTGAAGATGTAGCATTATTTTCAAAATTGAATTGTGATCAATACCTGAAGCGCCATGTTCCGTGGATTTGAGAGCCAGGGGCTGGCATATTTGCATACCATAAAATACTATATGCATCACTTGAACAGTTGAGTGCAGCCACACTGATTAATACACTCGGGCGCCCTTACTCTCAAAGGCATATGGACTTGATATGCAGTGTAAGTTTCTCGACCTTGGCTGGAAGAGGAAGTGCACAAAAACTGTGCCATTTTTGAGTGAGATCTGCTCCTAGGACAAACTGCCTAGAATCTGTTTGGATCCAAGAGGGGAAGATATTACAAAGACTTGTTACAGGAAGAGTCTAGTAATACTTTTCCTGTTTAGCGTTCACTTTCAGAGCCTTAAAGCAAGCGCCATTCCAAAGTCTCAGAAAGAGCAAAACCCAAGCCTCAAGAAGAGTAGTTGCACAAGGTAAAATTCACTTCTTAAAAAAAAAAAAAAAAAGGGGGGGGGGGGGGGGGGTGTTCTGGAAATATTTTTGATAATTCTCAACTGAATTTGAAACAAGATTTCTCAATCTACCCTGTTAGGTAGTCCAGGATTCTCAAGCTCATTACTGTCTCATTATGAATATAAATCCCTCCCAGGAAGCAAAAAAATTCAAGAAGAGCCAGATGGATGCACAATATCAGCTTTAGGAACTCCACTGTATATAGCACAAGAGATCAGGAGAACTCAGAGAAGCAGTGCTGCACACATGCCATTCATCGCTGGATTGCTACACTGTTTAAGATGGTGATGATGTTTCCAGACCTACTTTCTCATTCAATGCTTCAGAAAAATATACAGATTGCATCTCTTCCAGAGCAATAATAAGTAAGTATTAGAAAATGAGAGAAGCACCATAATTCACAAGAAATGCAGCATGGACCCTATATATTTTAACGACACGTAAAACCATTTCTCTGCTCCCAGTCAAAACATTCAAAGTCTTTTGACAATCTCTACTGGAGTAAGTTGTTGGTGCAGAGTTAGGATTCCTTCCTGCTAGGCAGCTTCTTGGTTATGAACAGATCACCAATAATAGCAGCTTTTTAGTAGCCAAACCAGGGAAAAGCTGTCAACACTTGTCTATGCTACAGTTTTCAGCTCCAGAGTGGCTTTATACTTTGTTAAGAGTCCCATGTTTTGTCTTGTTGTTGTTAACACTGCATTGACCAGAAAGACAAACGCAGTGAGATTCTGGCTGACAGGGGAGAGGAGGGAAGAACGTTGTAACTATAGTCACGTTGTTAGTGTTTAAATTCTAAAATTTAAAACTACTCATTATTAAAAACCTCAAGAGTTCACAGCTATAGGCCTACATAGTAAGCAAACATCTGTGGGGGAGAGATCAAGAAAAGTTTGTTTTTGCACCTCTGGATACATTTAAAGGAGGAGAGTTTGATTAGACATAGGTCTCATCTTTTGCACTGAGAATGCTCCTTAAGCTCTGGGCTCCCTTGGCTTAGTTTTATCCCTCCTCTCCTCCTCTTGCTGGAAGACACCATCACCGCTGGCTTGTGTGCATGGAGTGGTGGTATTCCTCCGGTTCATAGGGATGCTGGTTCATGGTGCTGCACCTTTCTCTCTCCTCAGGAGAGGATGGCATTAGAACGGCGGATACCAACTAAATTATCAGCACTGAAAGATCGTCTCATAGCAGCTTTTGACAAGTCTTTGTATTTATCTTCACACAGACGGGAGATAGCCTGGAAATCAGGTTCAGTTACAAAAAGAAAAATTTATACATTAGAAGGGTTTGAACATTTCAGGGAAGTTTTTACAAGTGTAATATCGAACAGGGCAGGCACTCCAGGCCCTGCGCCTTTCAGTGAGGCTACTAGCAGCGTTCTCCCTAGAATGACAGTAGATAGGCATGACTTTGGAGGGAAAATATTGAGAGTTCCCTCCCCCTGTTAGCAAGAATCCTGTACGTCAGAAATGAAGACATTAAAAAGCATAGTGATTTCTGCATCTGAGTAGCTTCATTCTTACACCATTCTCACTATCTAACGGAAAACTTAGATTCCCTTAGGAGTTTACACAAGTTATGTTCAAAACTGCATCTACTAGCTAGGCCTGGTATTTGGGTTTTTAACGGGACAAAAAATGCACATACCATTTGTCTGAGAGAAAGGCTAAAGCTGAAAAGGTTTCTGCATTTTCTGCATCCCCTGCCCCTTGCACTTGGCCACTCAGTGGAAGCGACTCTAGAGACTGAAGGGCCAGGCCTCCATTTTGCCTTACTTTCCTCTCCCCAGCCTGCTGGTATCATCAGGTCCCTGAAGAGGCCTGAGGAGGGAGGGCAGCCCACTGCTCAATGGCACAGCACTAGCCATGATGCCTTAATACAGCTATTGAATGTGGACAACTTAGTATTTAATTGCTTGTGCAGCTATTCTAGTATCAAGCCTCCTTATTTGAATCCTAAGGACACGTGACTGCCCAGAAAATACGGTGCGTCCTCACCTGCAAGGCCTATTTCTCATTGGAGCCTCCAGGTACTATCAATGCAAATAAATAAGGATACCAGTAATAGGAGGCTGAACTACATTTCAGTTCTGAACATTTACTTCCATCAATAATTTACCACCTATCACCAGATGAACTTTCAGAGTCCTGCAATCAGCTACAAGCCTACACCTTCCCTTTAAGGCAGCACCCATTCAGCACAGCCCAGTGTGCTGGAAGTTCAAAAGGTAAAAAGCACTCTGAGCATGAATAAACTCCTAAGTGTATTTTAAAATAATTATTTACATTTATTTCTGCCGACCTTCTGGAGGCATGCATTTGGCTCCAGAGTGGCATTCTTTGAGACACTGGCTGCACGAGCTCCCAGTGCAAGACCAGACAGACTCTCCATCCTGTTTTAATGCTAGCACATCAATCATAGAGCAACCTGTGTTGACATATTTAGCCCCAGTCCCCCATATGGTGTAAATCAGTTTTCAGTCCCTGGAATACCAATTCACTCTTTCACACAGGCTATCAACTGCTCCTGTGCTTCTAAACCCAAAGGCAGGATTAAAAAAAGTTAAGCAAATGGTTCGAATATTTATCACGTTTTAGAATTAAAACCAAAATGCCCTACAAACATGCATTAGTAAGCATGTTATGGCAAATCATATACTGTACTGAAAATTACTTTGGTTTTTAAATACCAGACCCCCAAATACTAGCAAAGAAGAAACAAAACAGGCTCACAATCTGTAAATCATCCACTTTTGCCTGGGCACTGAACAGTTCAGTAAACAATTTCCTGTGGAACATGAACTGCCCTACAACCACATTTACAATTAGTGACAGTGTTAGCTTAAAGTGCAAGTAACAAGGGTGAGACAAAGCAGAAGAGTTGCATTGCTTAACTTTAAATAGAGGAATTCATAGGCATATCATACCTAGCATTCCAGAAGACCAGGAGGGAACATGCTTATTTCCAAAGTTCAACCACTTCTGGGACAAAATAAAAAAAACTGGCACTTGGCAGAATTATTGGGGGTGGACAATAGAACAATATAAGCCAAGAATACCGCAGCACACCCCTCTTTGAAAGGGGCTATGGTATCAGTGTACAGAAGGCCTGCGTTAATGCCTTTGTTGAAAGGTCAACACAACAACATGCACGGTCATCAATTAAACCTGGACAGATGAAAGGTTGCATTGATCCAACAAGAAATTTGCCTGGGAACCCAGGTAATTTAGTTATTTTCAAAATGTCTTACACATATCCAGCAACTAGGAGAAGAGACTGATGCTGCAAAAGTTAAGGTTGTTTTAAACGAGCCTTCGCACCAAAGAGCGCGTGGGGACTCACGGATGGGGTAGCTTTTTCCATCTAACAAAAAAAGGCCAGTAATCTGTATTTACACCCCTCTGGCAATTCTGGAGTATTGCTAAGAAGCAACTATTCCAAAGGCTTAACTTAAAGCAACATTTCTTCAGAAAGGTGACGTTCTAACAGTTGTTAGATGGAACACAGTGGTATTTCTGCAGCTGTCCCCAAACAAATGGTTTATTAAACCATGAGTTTAATAAAACCATGAGAGCAGTAAGAGTTCTCTCGCTAAATCTAAAAGCAGCTGTGCCGTGGGATGCAGTGGGAAACCTTCAGCTGGTAGTATTTAGAAAGGTCTGAGTGTGACTGTCTCTAGGTGCTTGGAATACAGACTGCGACCAGGGAAGGACAGACAATCCATTACATATGACACTAATCCTTTCAATCTTAAGTAGCCTAGCTGAATTATGGTTCCCAAAATAACATCCATTTTATTCAGTGATCTGCTAGCCTTCCATAATCTCTTTTCCGCCCTTTCCTCAGAGTATTAGCTTAGTCCATAAGACATGGTTTTAAAAGTGCTAACGCCAGTTATAAAAAGGTTAAATTAGCCTGTAATACACTAATCTAAAAGCTTTTTAGTTTTTCTAACCACCACTTAATATGATTAGCAACAGATGCTCTTACTATACATACACACAGAGTCCCCTGCTCACCCAATCTCAGACCATTACCTCCAGTTTCTGTGCTCTTTCTTTACTAAGAGGCTCCAGCAGAAAGCTCAGGTTATTGTCATCTGCTAGAGAGCGAAGATCGAAGTAGTATTTGGCGTAAACACTGGCAGGAACATTGATATTAAACTGCAGCAGCTCCAGGAAGTGTCTTTCCATCTCGTTCCTAGGAGGAGTAAAGGGACAGAAGACAAAGGAAAAGAAAAGATGGTTTTAGCGGGCTGCAAATACTGCGGAGACCTCAAGTTTATTTTTAAAACGAGTAACTTTGAAAGAGTCACCGAGAAGTCTGCATTACTGGTTTGGAGAGACAGCTCACTGGGTAGCGCACACAACCAGGTGCAGCTTTTGCGCCCTGGCCCTCGGGCTGGGAGCGAGGCGCTGGCGCCGCGGCCGGGCAGCCTCCGCGGCCGAGTTCCATTAGTGCAGCTGTACAATTCACGCGCCGCCGGCCTCCCCGGCTCGCGCGGCCCCACGCTATAGTGATCAGATGAAAGGAGTGATGTATGCTGTTTATTAGCTCTGAAGAACTTGCAGACATTTTCACCGGGCTGATAACAGGAAGGGGGTTTATTGAAGTAGAGGCGGACTAACAAAAGGAGTAGGCAGATCACCACGGCAACAAATGGATCTATGAAGAGCTGCTGCTATTATCTCACAGAAAAAAAGCCTCTTGAAGCAACATGGATTCATCTCCAGTAAATAAATAAATAAGCAGCATTAGGTGGGAGAAGGAATTTTCTCCTCAATAGCATTAGGCAGGATAACAAAGTACAGTGTCAAAGGGCGCTGTCCAGTTTTTACTCACTCGTCTATTTTCGGAGGGCAAAATATTTGGAGGAAAGTGGGAAGAGACCCATGACATGAAAAAGGCTGCTTCAGCCTTTTTCCACTGTACTGTGGTCAAGTACTTCGGAGATGTTCTACAGAAGAGAAACTTCTTTTTTCTTTTCCTTTTTTTTTTTTTTTTGAAAAAACTAACCTAAAAGAAACTTGCGGTACCCAAAACAAGCAATTCAGTCCAACACTAACTCCCGACAACTCATGTTTCTACTGGTAACAGACCTACCGTTACAGAAATTAGTAGCTATATAAGTCAGGCTGTGAATGCACCAGAAGATAAGTTGCACAGGTTCAGTGCCAAGGCTGTTCTTGCTTTTTGGGAGCTTTTAAAATGGATGTTTTTACCTCTCAGAGGGGGGAAACAAATCAAGGAATCATCCAGGTTGCGTCCTGTATTGGCTGGCAGGTCTCAATATGAATAGCTGCTCTGTGCTTGTTTCTAGCATGATGGACTTGAGTACCATTGAACCTAGTGCTAAAATTAATTTCCTGTTCATATGGTCATAAGCCTATAGAAATGTAAATAAGATAATGTTTTGATGATCAGCTGATCAGAGCTTGATTTACTCTGTGAATAAATGCTCTTCACTGCCCCTTTTGTACTGACTATACTAATACATTTTAATTGTGTAAAAACACAATTCTTCATTGGATTAACAAGTCTATTAATAGTGGTTTAAAACCTGGGAAAGCATAATGTCCATGTGTTTCCTGTGCCTTATTTACAAATAGATGTAGCCAAAAGAATGAACTGCATGTGTCCCCTTACAAGCAATCACAGTAAGACTAGCAGCTGCACAGTTAATTTTTCAGTGATTATGGATTCACTATCATCAAAGCAGGCAAGTTTTGACAAAGGATGACTTCCAAATATCAATTTAATTTCCTTTGATTTTTTTCCCCACTAGAAATAAGTAAAAAAAACAAAAAAACTTTCAGTGCAAGACTTTACTGTGCTTGAAGGAGAAAGGCCTTGAAGTGGAAACAAAAAAGGTTAAACACTTTGCCTACCTTGAGTAGGAAGAGGCTAAGGCAACTTAACTATTATCTGCCAATCACAACAAGACCTGGATCACATATCCTTTAACCAACTTCAGCACTAGTAGTTTCCGTGCGTGCCAGGCAGCTCACACAGCTAACAGGCAGCTGTGGGGTGCCGCTGCGAAACAAGCACCTTTAAGCGTGGTCAGCGGGGCGAAGGTGCACCTTCGCCACCTTTGGAAAGGACGCCTGGCTATGATCCACGCTTTGTGTACACACACACACACACACACACACACACACACACACACGCAAACTGGGTGAACTAAAACTGATATAAACCCTTTTGCCAGTTTCTGAGCCGTATAATTCCCAAGCCGGGCTTGGCTTGCAGTGGCTAAACAAGAGTACACATCAAGGTAGTGAAATCATTCTAGATATGTAGAGCCAAAGGGAGAAGCCACAAACAAACCTCTCGCACCAGTCCTTGCAGACAGGCCCTCCCAGGGAGCGATCTCTGGTAGAGCTCGGCCAAGAAAGCTCTTGTTGGGGAGCTGCTGGGTTTAGGGCTTTTTTTTCTATTGGCAGCATCACCAGCCATCGCCAACATTAGAATCCCACTGTACCTGAAATCCTTTGGCAATTGTTTCCTCTCAGTAACGCTTGTATTCAAAATAGCTAAATGCTAATGCTCACCATCAAGTGACTAGTTCAAGAAATATCAGAGCTACCAAAGCCGGCAATTAACTATAGTACCAATTATTAATTGAAAGTAGTATTACAAACTGGGTTTACAGTTTTGCTGAGTATCTTTTTTAAGCAGTTTCCCAAGGTCCCAATTGTGGTGGGGTAACCCAACCCAGCAGCAGTGACCTCCGCCAAGTAGGAGCAGTGCAGGGCCTGGGCTGGGCACTCCTGGGCCATGGTTAGCCATGGTTAGCTACGGTTATTTCAAATGAGTTGGGAATAGAAAAATTCCATTTTCAAATTAGAGGAAAAAATAAGCCTAAATTCAGTCTCTTTCTCCTACCACCACCAATGCTTTGCAAATGTAAGTACTGACAATTTCAGGACACCCAGCATTGGCAATAGAGAATAAACATCCTTCTTGTTACAGATATTTTCAGTGCTATCAATTTGATTTGTCCCAAATAGGGCTACAAGAAGAGACATCAAAAAGAGCAAGATGTATACTCCAGCACTCCTAGCATTGCTGACCCCACTTCAGCCATCTCAGAGTTATTTGCAGCAACGCTTCAAGTATGTTCCTCAGACAGACAAGCACTCTGAGCCAGGTTCAGTGAAGATGTACATTGTATAAAATCACTAATTATGCCTTCTTGAAAGCACGCTAGCAGAGCCCTGCTTTTGGAGACAAAGAACTCCCAGGAAAGGAGCATGTATAAAACAAGATGCTATGTTTGCTGTTGCTGTTCGCAATGTAAAGTATCTTGAATAACAAAAAGTGGTTTCGGTGTAGATAACTCCCCCATTTTTAGAACCCCTCCCATTAAGAAAAACCTAAAAGGAAGGAAAACTGGATAGTCCTCCTACTAAAGAGTCCTAGATAAATATTTACCTACTGGATTTTAAGCATTAGCCTCAGGCTGAATCTGGGGAACACAGCTTAGGGCAGGAAGAGTATCTCACCTAAGTAGTCCATCAGTATTGAGTACAAACCTCCTCCACCTCAGCCTGTTCCTGTCCTAATATTGTCTTTTACTACAAGGCCTGGATATAAACCAGTTACATCTCAATGGTGTGATAAAACTCAAAAATGCACAAAACACGTCATAAAGTTTATCAAGGCCAGAAAGCGTGATACTAAGCTAGTCTTCTAGTATCTATAGTGCTGTGATAATGAGGGAAGTACAGAAGCAAGCTGGCTAATAGAATTAAAACAACAATGCTGAAAACTCAAGGCTTGCAGAGATAGAACTTTGTAAGATTTAACAGAAAATCTAATGGGCCAATCCATCCAGAGACTGCAGGGCTTGCAGCTGAGTGCACCACGAAAAAGGAGTAGATTCAAGATTTTTAAAAAACTGAAATCTACATCTGAGGCAACAATATATAAGAGAAACAACCTTGTTCATACAACAAGCAGTAGTAAGATTGCAAACGTTGTTCTTAGCAATGCTGGCAAGTCTAGAGAACTCACTCAAAGAGGAGAAGTTGCAGCAGTGGCTGGATGCAGCCACATGCAACCACAGATACCAACACAAATAACACTTGCCTGCCAAGAGCAGCAGCTAAGAATTCAGACCTTGAAATATTTAGGCCTTAGCTAGATGCAGGAGCAGAAACATGAGTCACAAGTTATAACTTACCTTGCAATTTTGCAAATTCTAAAACAGAAAAAGCAGGGAACAGATTTAGTGGACTTTTCAATTTTTTTCAGAAAGACTTTTGTTAAGACTGTAAATTGGACACTTCAGAGTTACACGAATGTGAAAAATATGTCGAAAACAGGTAGCCAGTTCCATGTCTTATCGCTGGGAGAAAAAAGGTAAAGAAAACTAACTCTAAAGTTATTCACCCAAGTCATTAAAAATATTAATTCAAGTTTGCCTCAAAGCAGGATTATCTAGAGTTTTCTAAACTGAAATAAGGGAATGAGGCCTGACACCAGACATGCATCATGCATGTATATCATAGCGCCAGAGGACAGACAATTTTTCGATAATGCATGATGAAGAAAATTGCCATTCTAGACAATATTGCAGATTAACCAAACCTTGCAACTTACATGTCCTCAACAGTAATGTCCTTCAATATTTGGCAATAATCCACATTCCACACAGCCTGATCATCCCAGACTTTAGAAGCCAGCAGAATAGCTCCCAGGACTATCCTCTTCCAGTTACTAGGGCAGATGTCAATCTCTGCATAGGTTAAAAGCCTCTCCAAATAAACCTACAAAAAGAAAAAAAACAAGTTTTAGAGGTGCGTTTAAGACCTGGAGCTGAGTTCTAAGCAGCAAGCACGCTACTCCAATATGACTATTTTCTTCCTTTACCATTAAGTTTGTCAAAACAAGCCTCAGTGATTACTGCTTACACTTTATAATCCAGACTTTCAAGAGCTCCATGTTTTTAGTACAACATATGAACTGGACCACCTTAAGGTATACCATAAAGATACTGAAGAATCAGTTTTGAGCAATAAACTGTTTCAGTGAAACACCCTGCTAGAGTTCATTCAGTCATTGAGTCACTCAGTCATTGACAAGTTCTCATTAGGGCGTACCTGGGATTATTAATCACTCAGTACCACACTAGCCTTTTATCATGGTTATATTTCAGCACTTCCAGCTAAACAGGACACACTAAAACCTGCACAGTGATCTATGCTCATGGGATGAAGATGCATTAATTTGTATCATTCCACAATGAAAGGCATCACAGTGCTATTCTGTTTCACCCTAAAGGAGCAGACTCGAATTCTTCACCTAGGACAATGTCATCCTTTGCTCTCATCTACTTCAGGGAGTGCTAGACAGTGAAAGGTGCCCAACTTCAGACATATGTCAAGGTCTTTTCCTCATTCCTCCTATGTAGTCTCAAATCAGCCCAAAGATGTTGAAACAGTCCTTTCCTACCTTTTTTTCCCTGAAGTTTTCTACTGTTTCACACCCCTGTAATGGTCCATGTACTAAATAACTGGCACTTTCAAATTTGAATATAGATCAGTTTTAAGGTTGCATTCCCTAGACTAGTTATCTCCAGGGTCCTAATGAAATCTCAGATAACGTAGCGGGTGCAAGAAGCTGTTGCACAGGTCTAAGGGCAGGGTCAATGCTTATTAGTAGGGTCTCCCTACCCTTTCTTCCCATCCTTTGCTTGAAGCCTTCAACTGGACTCGAGGTGTTCCTATAATAACAGAGCCATCTAGTGGTACAATCCACTTTGAAAATTAACTATTTCCATTTGGCTTTGGGAATACTTAAGCTACTTAAGTATCATCTTGTTCTGTCAAAATTGCTTGCTTTTTTTTTTTTTGGAAAAGCAAAAACCTCAACATGCTTTTAGCGTTTCAATAGCTCTTTTTTTGTAACTATTTGGCCTTTTAAATTACTTATTTCATTATTAAAAAGAGTCCTTGAAGCCAAGTCTGCTTAGTTGCCACATTGCTTTTGCATCTTTTGCTGACAGCTTTTTTCTCCTTTTCTCCTTTCAGACTGCTTTTCAGACCGAAGCCACGATGAAGACTGAAGCCTAGCGTGCAACAAAGTGCACGGTTTAATAGAATTTCTATTGCAGAGATTATATAGGTTGCTCTTTTATTTTTATTTACATACATACATATGTGTGTGTTTGTATAAATAAAATAATCAGTATCATATTCATTTTTTAAAATCCATCTCACTTTTTGAAATCAAACGGTAAACTTTAATGACAGAGAGGCAGTGGAGTCTCCTTCCCTGGAGATATTCAAAACCCGTCTGGATGTGATCCTGAGCAATATGCTCTAGGTGACCCTGCTTGAGCAGGGAGGTTGGACTAGATGATCTCCAGAGGCCCCTTCCAACCTAAACGATTCTGTGATTCTGTGATTATTTTCTCTTACTATTTTTTTAAAGTTCCAAGTACCCCCATGTGACCTGAAAGAAAAACGTCCAAGTTTTAGACTGTTTGGTGAAAACAAGGTTTGAAAGAAAGGTGGCGGTGGTTGAAGAGCATGATAATGAGAAAGTTCATCTGCTGGATTTCCTACAGTGTTGATCCTGGATGCCTTAGGGGGTCTGTTGCTTGCACTGTTCTGGTTAATATGATCTCGAGCTTCTCCCACTTCTCTCTGCGCAACAGAAAAAAGATGTTCGTGTTGCTGATCCTAGTATACCCCACTGCTTATGGTGGCCCACTGTTCTGCCTTCCTCAGTCTTCTTCAGTGCGTTATATATTATGAAACCAACAAATGTGTGACTGGACAAGTGATTAGGCCTTACATAGCCAAATACAGAAAAGGTAAGTTCCTTTTAGGGTAACCAGTTCTGTGACTATTTAGAAATCTTTTCTAATGAACTCATTTGTACAATTTCTTCACTGTTAACAAAGTTTCATCAGATAATGTAATTATTTAAATGTTGGTTTTTTTACTGAGGGGAAGAAAACCACCTTCCAAAAGCTTAAGTTCCAGTAATCAGGCATCTCTTACCAGTGTCACTATTGCACATTCAGCTGTCAGCTGTGCAGCACTGAAAAGCGTCCGTACAAATCGGTAGATGTGCTTGTGATCAGGGTCATGCTTATAGTAGTCATCTGGAACTTCTTCCCGCTGAAATAAAGTCCTTTGAATTACTGAATATCTGTTTTACTTATTACTGACTTGAAAGAACAGCCACACAGTGCTATTTCTTTTCACCGAGTGGAAGCGCATACAGCCTTCCATATCACAGACAGTGAAATCCTATACTGAAAGAACAAATGGCCTTGCAATATTACAAATGTTCCAAGTCAAAAACAATAGCTTTAGCTGATAAAACCTTTTACCTGAACACTTTTTTGATCTGTAAGGCTTATGGGAAAGAGCATGAACTGCCAGCATTATTACTGGAGTTGGCTGTTCTCCATGGAGCTTTTCACAAACGTTAAAAAAAAAAAAAAAAAAAGGGTTTCTCCCTGCAAGAAAATTAGTCATATACACACAAGGGAAGCAGTGGCTTTTCAAAAGGCAAAATTAAGAGACTTCACAAGATTCCCCTTCAAGTTGAAAAAGAGCTAAAGAATACATTTTAATAATTCCAGCACAAGCAGAACTGGAAGGTAACTTATACTGTCTGCATAGGACTCATTCTTGGGAAAATCCAGAAATCAAATGGCTACAGACACATACTATCCATGTAATCAAGCATTATTCTGAAAGAGAAACCCATATGCAGCAATAGATTCTGGTATCGCACAGGACTTACTGTTCACAAAAACACAAAACACATCTATTGGCCTTCCTCTCAGCCACAGCCAAGTTCTCCAGGACAGAAGAGAACCATAGGTGTTCAGCGCATATATTTCCTCATTTGCCTTTTAGACAGTCCAAAGCGGTGCAATAAATTGTCTGCTGCCTCTTTTCACCAGTTGGTTTGAGAGAGGCAACAACTGGACAAGACCTCATAAACCAATGCTTAAAAAGAAAGAAGATTCCTTTTCCCACATCCAGATAAACTTAATATTCAGTTTGTTTAGAGAGTCTGTTCTAATGACAAAACCTAGAGGATTTCAGTCGAACTCTAGTTTTCTACAGTGGGAATGTACTTGCAAATATATCCTTTAACTTACCGACACTGAAGTACCTTTTGCCAGCTATACTGACAATTCAGTAACTTGTCAGAAGCAACAACGATCCCCACGGTGCAGGAACTAATGGTGGAACACCACCATGCTGGATTGGTACTGACAGGCAGCAGGGAGTTCAAGTGTGGGTAAGGCTTATGCTTGAAGCATTTATTCCTTCACGTCTCCAAGTTAAGACTCCCGCATCTCTCCGGAGTACCCGAAGGGAGATACTCGAGACCATCCCCATGGAACGTTGTAACACCCAGCCAAACGCAGGCAGAAAAGGCAACAAGTGGACTCTTCCACATTACATTTCTGCTGTGGATGCTAAGGTCCTCCCAAATGTGGACAAAGGATCCAGCATGGTACGTAGACAAGGAAATACTAGAAGCACGTAGTTCCAAAGAACAAAGACGAGCTGCTTCTGGTTCAAGGCGCTCAAACAATACTAAGGCCACAAAAATCAAGACTTCTGAGGTTGAGGCACAAAGCTCAATTAGTGATCCTGGACTGGCAAACTTGGCAAAGGAGAGGCAAGTGAAACTGAGCAAAAGGCAAAAAGTGCCATGGAGAAAGGCAAATGGAGCCATCCAGAATTGGTCAGTACAAGCAGTACAAAAGCTCTCACCTTGAAGTACTTTAGTACTGACTGGAATTGAGAGGAAAAGACTAAGACTGAGAGTTGTGATAAAACTCTGTGATGCTGGTAACTTGAAGCCTCTTACTTCTGCGATTAGGGACAACTGAGCCTGGACAGTTGTCTGGATTTTGACTTCTTTGTGACTGAATTTTTAAAGGATAAGGTGTCCGGAGATTTGTTCCAACTAATTAACCTTTTCAAGTGAGCTGTAGGTACTAGGCCCAAAAGTTTATTGCTATAGAAACTAGCAAGTAATTTGTATTTCTTCCCTCAGAAGTATGACAGACAGCCACTACTATGTTTCTGTCTGTATATAGTACTAAGATAGAAGAGACCTTTTAAGCTTTCCCTGAAGGATACAATGATTTTCCTCTATGCATACTCATTAAATAGGAAGTAGGCTATAAGAAAGGATCCAAACATGTCAGATTGCTAAACAAAAAAAAAATTATCAGGATAAACTGGAGTTCATCTTACATAAATAATTTTCAATGTGAAACAACTGATTTAGGCAGATAAAAACAGTTCGGGACAAGGTATTTCTCTGAAAGTGCCACTGGCCATGCAAGAAACCTATATAGCTCTTCTCCTGAAGTTCATTATTTGTATTGAGTAAAGAGCTATATTTATTAAAGTGTACAATTCCTATCACACTGGGTCCTGTTTAGGAGTGCTACTCTAACAAACTTTAACGTTGTTTATTAACGAGCTAAAGTTGTGAGATAAATTACGTTCCCAGAGCAAACTGAATTTTTAAAGCCACTAAAGCGTTACTAAATGCATTCAAAATGAAAGACAGAATAAAATAGGCCACTCTGTAGGAAGGTCATAAATCTAATACTTCTCAAACTGGACACGGATAGCACGCAACCTTGGGCTACTCTGTACTACGAGGTTTTGTAGGTGTCCCAGAACCAGTCACATTAGAATCACATACTGAACGACCCTACCTGTGAGGGTAAGCAGCATTAAGCATATTTGCTTTAAAGTTTGGCCTTTCAGGTTTTTTAAAGACCAGACTCCCTGTCTCCTGCTTTGTGTGATGCTTGATGCACTACGTAGTCCTGTCTGCAATCACTTAAAAGGTTAGGCACGTATGTACTGACCATGTCTTCACAAGTAAACAGGAAAACCTTTTTAATTGATTGTCGTAGTATTATTAAAGAGATGAAAAAAGGAGTAAGACAAGACAAAGTCCTAATATGCAATATGGAAGTATCAGCACTTCACTAGCTTGCTTTCTATTTATCTTCAGATATCGTATAGAAAACAAACATACACTGCAATATTTTGAAGGACTGGAGGTTGCATTCATGATCCAGCTGATATCAGAAGTTCAGAGGACAGTCTGCACTACATAAGATATAACTTTAGATCAATCTGCTTGTGACTTGGTGTTAAGACATTTTTAGGACTCATGCAATACAAAACAAGATTAAAAAATGTATATTCATATACACACAAGATCAAAAAAGTTACACTTACTGTGAGGGGATGAGATTTTTCATCAAAAATATCCAATGATCTGTCTGAATCTCTACAATGCAAAAATCTCTGTTTTAATAGCAAGATTTAAGTGGTAATGCTATGTTCCACTAGTAGGTATTATTCATTAAAGAGGATAAAGGGACATATTTTATCATTCAGCTTTTTGTAAAACATGATATGAAGTTTTTTTGTATTTTGGCATGGCATCTAATGATGAGCTCTTCAACTGAATATTTAACAAGTTAACAACGAACAGCTATCCATGGTCTCACTAGCAAATTTAATTTAACTTCCAAATACAGAAGCCATAGTTCATATTACGTTTAGTACAGTTCTCCCTTAAAACATGAAACCATCTCACTGACAGCATTCATTATTTTTAAAAGGCAGTTGTAATTTTAAAGTATACACTGTAATTAGCTATAATGGCAAGGGTTATTTGTACACAGGAGAGTGTTCATTCACCTACCAAAACTAATCTCTACCACTGTATTCAGTAAAAGCTCAACAAAACCCAAAGGCTGATTTGTGGCGAGTTACGTATACTTTCCTAACTTCCTCTGTTCCAACTTTTCATGCTTCATTCTTGATGAAGCATGTGACAGAGGATGGGTAATATTACTGACCTTGCCATATCAGCTCAAGAGGGGGTACAAAGAGAAAGCAGCTATACCATGAAGTTGCCAAATTTTTCAACTTCTTTAATTTATATTAGCTGAGTTACGTAAGTTGTCAAGGCCATTTTCCCTGGCTCAGAAAGAAAGTTAATTTATTTTGAAAAAGAAATTTAGAGTTCACTCACCTGTTCTTTATGTGGTAGAATATTGCTAATGTAACACTGAAAAAGAGAAAGAAAAAAAAGATTTAACAAAGCATATTCTGCGCATACAATTTTGATGCAAAAGCTGCTGTTCAGGACAAAATGTTCAGAATCCATTATGTACTGGCTTCCCCTCATGCCCTCAGTACTTTGTGTCTCGGTTTGGATGTTTACCTGCCTGGGCAGAAACTGGTCAAAAGAGATGCAGAAACCAAATATGCCAGCCAAACTACTTTTATGTTCTGTGTACATATATTTATGCCATAAAAGAAATGTTATACCAGATTTTCATGTTTACCAGATTTAGGCAACGTTTATTGAAAATGTGGACTATCCATGATTAAAGCATGATGAAAGTTCTACTCAACGTTACATATACTGTTGTACTGCCGATGTTTTAATTTCCTATCTCTGGCTGTCATATTATGGGGTCTGTCTAAAAGGAGAAAAATAAAGAATGTCAGCATAATTCAAGAAGGGGACAAAAGTAGACCTCAGTCTCTGCTGAGTCAAATAAGGCAAAAGATTTCAGATACTTTATTGGCAGTGATAGCAGGAATATTGCCATCACAGGAATCCATCACAGGAGAGCTCTGATCTGTTGCCAGCTGTATACCACTTCAAAATGGCAAAAGTGCCATCTTTCAGGATCTTTCTTCTCCGGAGATGGAAGGAGTGACATGCTACATGCCTGTCTGAAACCAAATTTGAAAGTGACAGATCAACTTAGACATTTCCAAACTTTACTGAAGTGTTACAGCAGTAAAGCATTCTGGGCCTGAAGCTAGTGCACCTTCCTTTCCCTTCCAGCACAGTAAACTGTCTTCTCAATTCTCAGCTGCTATCGTCTATGCACAAAGAATCATCTCCATAGTATCCAAAACAATAGGTCAAATAGCCATTTCCATTGGAGAGCCAAGAAGACTAAATAGTTATCAAACTCACATACCTAAAATAACAAATATACAAAGAAAAAGTAGAAAGGCTGGAACTAAAGCCAAACCCAGCAACATACAGTTATCCACAACTAGAGGGCAGGATAATACCACTGGCAAGTAGAAAATGCAGTCTCACAAACTTTTCCTACAATTCCATGCAAAATCCATTTCAAGTTTTCCCTCATCTACAGTTTCTGGATTTGGCTTTCAATTTGAAGACTTTGAACCCCCTTAATTTTAAACCAAAAAAACTGACATACTTCAGCACTGCCTCAAGTTCCCAAGTGCATAATGACAACTGTACTGAAATACAGCAGCACATCAGCTCTGTCACTGAAAGGAGCTCTCTCCAACAGCAATATAACAAACCAGGCTTCTAGAGCCCTTCAGTGACCAATCTGAATCTGTGCTCCTATCACGCAAGTGTACGACCAGCTTTGGAACAGACAAGACCACCACAGAATCCCCAACAAACCTTGCCGTGTTACTCAGTCCCTTGCTGATGACAAATGGTACTTACCACTTTATTGTGCTTCTAAGATTAGGCTGGCTGACCGTGCTGTCATCTATAAATATTGTTGAGCATGAGCTGTATTTTTTCGTAAGCTGCCCAGGGGAAACCTTAGGGGAAAAAAAAAAAAAGAAGAAGAACAGGAAATAAATTCATAAAGAGTGATTCTGTAAGGTTTAGTTTACTAAGCTGAACACTGGGTTTACACCTGGAACGTAGATAGCTACTGCAGAGCAGGTCTTTGTAAAAGATTGCTCTTGGCATGTAAACTATACCCTATCGCCATCAAGTTGCGTAATACGCTCTTTGTGTAAGATGTACCTATACGCCATTCCTTGTAATATACAACATGATGTTTTAGATAAGTAGTTTTCAGCAGAAATAGCTGCAACTAAAGCAGCAATCCTCTTTTTTCAGTTCTCTTCCATTCCGTTCTTGCCAGATCTGGCCTCAGTCTTTTCTCTCTATTATGTATTTTCTTAGATTTCCCTATGTCTCTACAATTTTCTTCCTTCTTTTATACCATCTCCTACACGTTTATATTTTCTGGTTATTCAGTACTTCTCCCTGTAAAGACAGTGCTGTTTTGGTTTCTTGGTTTTAGTTTTTTGTTCCTGACATGGATCTCTCCACTCATGTCTTGTTTAGCACCTGGAATCAGGAAACGAAGGGCTACCATTGCCAGTACTTATACTATTCAGAACTAGCAAAACACTCCATCATCTGTTCTCAAACTGTAGCTTTTATTCTTTAAGAAATTTTCTTGTCTTTTTACAATACTAAGTCAGGCTTCCCTAAGCCTTTTTAGAGAATGCCTTGAACAAGGGCTAGGACATCATAACTGAGGGAACAGTTTTAATCAAGCAGTTTGAGCTCCATTAGTTTTTGCCATCATCTATTTGAATGCCAAGTCTAAAAACCTGAAAGACTTTCATATGGAAACTTTGACATCCTTCACCACTAACAGCTGCCTGGGAACATCTCCCATTTCAGTTGAAGTCTGCCAGCAAAAACAATCCCATCAGTCAGCACCTTGGTGCTGGCAGACTAAGGCTGAAACTGTAATTAAAAAAACAATAAAAACAACAAGAAAGCCCCACAATCATACTGACATTCAAGTCATTCAAGACTTGTCATCTCAGCTGAGAAATGAATCCAGTTTTATTTGTTTTAAATACCAGCATAGGTAGTTTGACTTATATTTTCTCCATTACTGTTTTGAAATAGTCAAAATTGATACAATGAAAATCCTTTATTATGCTTTTGACATCACCTATTGTACACTCGGTGATATTTTGCCTGTTTATTCACTTTTTTTTAACATAGGCAAAGACAATTCAGTTTTATCTTGCTAAGAAGGACATGCAGTGCATGCAGGACTGTACACCTACAAGTACTACAGTTGTTTCTTGAATTTGTCTTTGTCCCAGTATGCTAATATTCTTTAAACTAGTATCCTACCTCTAAGAATTTGTTTTACTTACATGGTTGATGTGGTTACTCTTCCTCTTCTCTCGCACTAGAATAAGGGAGAAAGAACGTCAACTTAGAAGTTTCTAAAATACAATCTCAGTTTACACTCAGTAAAAGTCCTTCTATTAACCTAATCTTCTGAAGTACATGAGTATTACACATTTCAAATTTCACTACGAGGTGCCTGAAAGAGCCAAGTTTGAGAAAACTGAGTTTTATCAAGCTAGTAAACTACATACATCTTCCAGCTATCCACATGTACATTTAGAAATTACTTCTATCCATTGCACTAAGGAGAAAAAAGTCTCAGCTTTGAAAAGATGCTAGACATCATGAAAAACTGGATCATTTCAAATAGTTCAAACAGACAATGTCTAACATCAGCCAACAATCACTTAGCAAACAGAAATAAAAACATCACACATTGAAGCTGTTGAACTCGCACAAGAATGAAGTGAGGTGCCCAGCATCATATACCTGTTCTGTCTCCTCCTTTTAAGACTTACTAGACAGCAGAAATGAAAAAGGTATTTCACAGCACAGAAGATGCTCTTTATTATACAACTGAAACCACCTTATTCCATCATTTTAAACTGTGTCAGACTTTTAAAAAAGATGGTAAGGGTTAACTTCCAGCTATAATGGTAGCAGCAAAACAAAACAGTGCTGTTTAAGGAGAGCTGAGAGTTCCATGCATGTAGTTTTAAAAATGCAACAAGCTGTATCAATGTGACCAGCCTGGATACCTGACTGTACCCCCTTTTCCAAACTTTTGACTTTAGATCATTAGCACCTGTACTTACAAGCGCTAATAAGGACACATTGTCTTACATATTTAGAGAAATTAATGATTTGCAGAGTGTCCGAATTTTTTTTATCTTTTTACTTAAAGCAAATTCATGATCCTGCTGGCATCTCAGTGACAGAGACTTTAATGATATTAATTCTACTACCTCTATGAAAGGTTTACTAAAGAAGATCCAGTGCAATAAGAGAATAAATTGTTCTGCCTGACTTGTCCATAAAGATGTCCTGTAAAAATCCATTCACCCAACTAATAAAAACCTCAGAGAATGGTTTTATAGTTATTAACGCACCTAGCAGACCTTTTATCCACGTCTGTTACATTA